TTTAATACATTAGCTCATCCATGAACATGATTTCTGCCCGAGTCCCATCGGATTGCTTCGGCTGTGGGGATGAAGACAACTCCCATGATTCCACACTCAGTCACGGCGTCATCAAACTATGGCTTTTGGGTTTATTTTGAATACGTGCCCTCTAGCGGCGAAAATTACATATTGTGCCTTTAAGGAAACTTTTGTCTTGTCTCCCGAGGGCGCAATGAGCAAAATAATGCAGCGCATTTAAATTGTCAACGCAAGGAAGTAACTATAAAAAAAGATGTGCATTACGTCTAAATTAACTAAAACTAAATAAACTAACTAACTTTAACTAAATAAAAATCAAATATAATTGTAAATTGCATAAACACTTATGAACAAAACAGCATCATGTATTTATGCATTGCTTAATCCAAAGAGCCGAAGCGCCATTCACACAGATTGCATTTCAAAACATATGAGACGCAGTGAAAAAGAGTAAACCTCCACAAATCCATGACGTGTTTTTTAAAAGTTTAAACTGTTTTAACTTTGCATGGCTTTCTATACATCTCTTGTGTGAGACGCAAGTGCAGCAGTCATATGTGTCCGTCTAAAAAATGTGCTGAATATGCGTTCTGTGTGAATTGGTTTCGGTTTTAACCTAATCAAGATCTTCTCCGCATTGAGCTTCTATATTTCTCTAATATTTTCAATGCATATCACAGCAGCGGCGCGTCTCGTGGACTAGACTAACAAAACATTAAAATGCAACAATGTCACTTACATCACCGCATCTCACGCGCCACTGATGACGCTCCCTGACACACTCCTAACATTCAAATGAAAATGTTTATTTTAAATTCGACTAATATTCATTTTTTTATTCACAATCTCCTCATCACAGGCAGGCACAGCACTCAGTTCAGCATGTGTTCGTGTTTGTGTGTGCTGTCTGCGTCACTCATAGCACCTGCCTATATCGTGCGCTATATCGAACATTTTATCTATCGTTATCGAAGAAGGTGTACCGTCGATAAATATCGATACCGTTTTATCACCCAGGCCTAATAGAGATTCAATTAATTTGAAGATTACATACTGTAAGTTTACATTAATTCGGTTTATAAAATAAAATAAACCACCTTCCAGTTGACTGAGGAATCTTGCATGAGCTCTTCAAATCTTTGATGCACTGTCCGCTGAAAGGCGCTGGTTTCATACCGTTCAATTCCAAATTCTCCACGGTTTGCTGCCATATTGGGATTGAGCTGCAAAAACATCACCAGGTCTGGTTTTGGAAGTCCAATATCTGGATTCATGCACCACTCCAGAGAGAAGTCCTGAACATACAGAAAACAACTAAAGTAATGTCTCTTTCTCGGATTTGTGATGAATATTTAGTTCAAAATAACAGCATTTAATACAATATAACATTTATATTGATCATTTATATAAAATTAACAAAAGTCTTTACTGTCACGTGACATGACATTAATGTACATGAACATACTTTATAAATTAATACAATATGTTTTCCCTGTATTGGAGTAAGAGTAACACTCACAGGCTTGGCACTAGTGAAAGCAACTCCAGAAAACGCATAGCGGTCCACCACTAGATCGATCCCTTGTTCCAACTTCTGTTTCATCAGAGGCCTGAAGTAAGAAAACAGACTGATTGGTTGACATATAATTGGGTTGATCCACTTAATGAATGATACATTAATGAGCCATTCCTGTTAATGCACTTTACTAGATTCATGTCAACATAAACTCTGGAGAGATAACCTACACCATTTCCCATCGGTTTGCAGAAAACAGCAGGTGAACAGTATGATCCTCCAGATTACTCTTCTTCTCCAAGTATGAACTGATCAGCTGACCGATTTTAGTGGTTCTGTCTGTTTAAAAAAAAAAGAAGATTTTTTTGTCTTCAGTACAAAAAAATACAAACACTGACATGGACTAAGGCTGTGTCTCAAACCCCAGTGAGCTGCCAAATCACAGCCTTCTTTATGTCATTAAGTTAAGATCCAGGCAAAACGGCTCACTTCTTTTAGTTTTGGTTTTTGAGACACGGTTATAAAAACCACAGGATGCTTCACTATCATTTTAATATTTCCGAATCCAAGTCCGTCTAGGCAAGGCTTCACAAAATGGTTTACCGTGGGATAGCTTAAGACAAGAGGAGGAAAGTCATTTTACCTGGAAATCGCATCATTTCTGCCGCTCGTCCGCTCTGCTGCAACGCATGTACGAGTTTTTGACATTGCGTCGTTTTCCCGGCTCTGTCTACTCCCTCAAGGACAATTAAAGCTCCTCTTCTGCAAGACATGGCTCTTAAAAACACTGTTTAAAAAGGCAGAACAACAGAGAGCAAATACTGACAATGGCTAGCAAATCATTCCTAGGCCGTGATCTCTTTACGCGGTACTTTTCTTTAAAAAAACAAAACACACACGTACATACGTAACATCCTTCCTACGGTGCCCGCGAAAGGACAAATCAAATACGACCTCCCTGATTAGAAACTGTGAGGACGCAGTTGTTTATAAAGGTTTATTTATATCAACTTCAGACATGAGGCTTAGGCAGATTATGTAGTTATGCAATGTTGTAGTGAAGTACTAATATTTATTGTAATCGTTTTTTTAATGCCTCAATTTAGTCTAAATGCAGTTATGTATGTATATCATGTTGTTCTTAAAGCTACACTATGCAAATTATTTAGAAAAAAGGGTGTTGTGTTGGGTTGGGTTGTAATTGGGGGTAGCAAAAGCCTTTTTTTTTTTTTCAAAATGGAAAATATAGGCCTACAGTAAATAATAGAACAAATGCCTGCTAATAAGGTTCCATAATTTCTGATTATTCAGAAAAAAAACAAAGATAAATGTGGAAGACATATGTTTATTTCATAGCAGTTTTTCAGTAAAAATGTCCCAGGTTTAAAAAAAGTACACTTCCATAATGTACTTAAAGTGCTCTATTTTTGCGCACTAATTTTGTACTTAATATACTAAAATGATTCTTTAGTACTTCTTAAGATCAACTAAGTATACTCAACTGTGCTATTTTGGGACTCCATGATTATGAACTAAAATGCGCTTTTAACATACTACAGTATCTCTGTGTTTAAAAATCTCTGTATTTCGTAACCACTTGAGTGTACTAGTGTATGAAAGATGAGTTCAAGTGTACAAGTGGTAACTAAATCCACTTTTAAATACAGAGATAGTATGTTAAAAGTGCATTTTAGTTCATATTCATGGTGTCCCAAAATAGCACAGTTGAGTACATGTAGGTGATCTTAAGTTTATCTTAAGAAGTAGTAAAGAATCATTTTTAGTATATTAAGTACAAAATTATTACACAAAAATAGAGCACTTTAAGAACATTATGGAAGTATACTTTTTTTTCACCTGGGGTAACATAACTGCTAATATTGTAGGCTTCTGGGGTTTTTTTTGTTTTTTTTACACATTTGTAAGTGTCAGCTAAATTAATAATAGCGTAGGCCTATGTTTAAGGAGGAGCACAGGTTTTTTTTTCTTCAAAGAGGGATATCACCAAAAATAATTGAACATCACAGTTAAGGGGTTAAAATGCTGGACTTTTTATTGATGACGTGTCATGCTGTCAGACTCTTGTGACAGTGTTTTAGAGCATCAGTCAAGGCCTCCAACACCTTATCCACATTGGCCTTGCTGCTGTTACATCCCATCAATCCCACACGCAAAACCTGTAAAAAAAATGTGAGAAACGAAACAGTTACTGACCATTGTGTCTTTTTAACACACAATGTAAGTGCATGGGAACGGCTTTTTGTCCTGACGTCTGTCAGTTATGATTAATTGAAACCAATAGCTTCTCACCATGCCAGCAGATGGTCCAATACCCCCAGAGATTTCAGTGTTATAGGTCTTCATAATATACCCTGTGATTTCCCGCCAGTCATATCCTGGGGGAGCTACTATTGTGGTAACCGTTGGCAGTCTTGCGTTCTATAAGACACGAGATGTTTTCAGAAAATGTAATGTGAGTTATAGTAATTCGATATATGTGAGATCTGTTGTGATGTTTGAGGCTTCTTCTGCCAACCTTATCCTGCACAAACAGTTTTAGGCCCATTTCTTCTAAGCCTTTATGGAAGTACTCTGCAACCTCTTTGTGCCGTGAGTTCTCAAGACCCTAAAAATAAAATATATGGTAAACATATGTGCTTTTTACAAAATTCACGTTTCTCAAGAGTATTCAAGTGCAGTATATGATCTCACAGTCTCTGCGAGGATGGCCAGACTCTCACGCAGACCATAGAAAGAAGATACAGGTCCAGTGTGGTGAAAACTGCACAGTAAGAGAAACTTTAACATACAGTATATGCACAATATTCTATCACCATTTAGTGATAGAGAATTGACTTCAGAGGTCTGAGCATATTGATTTCTGTCTTCTTGGACTACTTTGTTTTCTAACTTAACATGAATGAGGCCTCCAGTGTTTAATGAGCTGTTATATCAGCGCTTGTTAAATGTGATGAATGGTTCTTATGCACGTACAGGCTTGTCATCACAACCCCAGTAATTTGCCAACCAGCTCATATCCAAGAAGTAAGAGATTGGTTTTGTCCTCCTGTTAAATATTTTCTGGCTGTTTTGTCAAAAAAAAAAAAAAAAGAGAATCTGTCGCATATTGAATTAAAAAAATAAATAAATAAATCTGGCTTGAAGCTGTTTTGTCTCACCATGCTCTCTCACTGAAGGAGATTGGTGCAGTTCCTGGAGGTTCGTTCAAAACCTTCTGAGAGCCAGTATACATAATGTCAATACCTAGTGATACAAGTACATTTTAAATCATGGACCCCATGCAGGCAGTGATTGTAGTGCCAGAGCACGTAATGTGGTGATACCTTGCTCATCTATGCAGATAGGAGTACCTCCCAATGCTGCTACTGAATCAACCAGAAATAAACAGTTGTACCTGAATGACAGAACAGAATTTACTCCAAAAAAAAAAAGATAACACTTTAGTATAGGGACCAATTCTCACTATTAACTAGTTGTTTATTAGCATGCCTATTAATAACATATTGGCTGTTTTCATTAGTACTTATAAAGCACATATTCTGCAAGACCATATTCTGCATCCCTAATCCTACCTAAACTTAACAACTACCTTGCCAACTATTAACAAGCAGCAAATTAGGTGATTATTGAGGCAAAAGTCGTAGCTAATGGTTTGTTAAAGGCAAGAATTGGACCTTAAAATAAAGTGTGACCAAAAAAACAAAATAAATATGTGATATTATGTAATGCATAATTATAAATATATAAAATAAGACACACACGTAGATTATAAAAGGCTTCTGGTAACTTAAATGTAAATTATTTGGAGCTTGTTAGTTGCAATGATATTTTAGTACCACTGATATACTATTAGTTTTTGCGAATATGTTGATTTTATTTTTTCATTAAAAATTTTACTTGGTTTTATTAGTTTTATTAGCTTTGTCTGTATAGTTTTAGTTAAATTCAGAGCCGATCCTCCCTATACGCAAAGTACGCAATTATAAATATATAAAATAAGACACACACGTAGATTATAAAAGGCTTCTGGTAACTTAAATGTAAATTATTTGGAGCTTGTTAGTTGCAATGATATTTTAGTACCACTGATATACTATTAGTTTTTGCGAATATGTTGATTTTATTTTTTCATTAAAAATTTTACTTGGTTTTATTAGTTTTATTAGCTTTGTCTGTATAGTTTTAGTTAAATTCAGAGCCGATCCTCCCTATACGCAAAATACGCAAGCTGCGTAGGGCCCCCGAAACACCAGGGGGCCCCCTTGCTCTCAAAGATGATTTGATTTCAGTTTCGTTTTTGAATTTGGCCAGCGGTTATGAAAACATGAATGTTAATTTCTTTTAATGCATTCGCTGTCGCCCTTTCTACGTAAAAATCAGTCAGATCATGTAATGCCAATTTCATAGGCCAACAGTCTCTTGCTTGAGACAAAAAAAACAAAACAAAAAAAAAAAGAGTTGAAAGCGTACAGAGCAGCGGAAGAGACACTGTTTCTCAAGCGGTTTCCGTCAGCGCGATTCGAGACGGAGTGAAACACGAACAAATGCATTTCATTCATTCATTCAAGTCAGTAGTCCGTAGTATGCACCTAATAAACACACTGTACTGTATTACCTCAATGGTTTCTGCATGCAGGTGGCCCCAGCATGGGCTGCGCTCCGGCTGCTGCGATCCGTGCGGGCACATTGGATGGTCCTGGTCCAAGCATAAGTCGTTGGGGGACGGGAAAAGGCTGTAACAGACATTCCAGTGGAAGAACGGACAGAGAGGACATAATGCTGCCACGACACTGACAGACTGAGGCAATGGTTAACATTGAGACCTGATATACTGAACAGTGCAGCTGAGCAGTGACAGCGGCTGTTTAATTAACAAACATATCATTTTCCTATTTTCTATTCAAATTTGTTCAACTAGGAAATGCCATTTACAGTGCCATCATAAATATGTGTATGTATATATATATATATATATATATATATACACACAATAAATGATCCAGCTTATTTCAAATGTAGTTAGACATTAGTGTGAGTAACACTTTGACAATGTCTGCTCATAAAAACAAGTAAACCACAAATATCAGTTAAAGAATTTTAAAATTATTTATTGATAATGTATTTTACATGTAAACCATTAAATGAGTTTTAAAAATTTAAAGCAAACTTTGAAATTCACAGTTTTGCTTTGAAGTTGGGTTAAACATGAATTACTTCTATTATTTCCTGAAGAAACCTACATTTAAAATAGAGCTTGGTCATCAACAACATTGTATGTTAACGGTATCCATTATTAATTAACAAATAATATTAATGATTGAATGAAAATTCATCACATTCATATTTTAATGCATAAAATACAATTGTGTCAACTCTGCATTTTGGGGGTCTAAGAGATTCGAATTGGCTCAAAAATATGTGTAACATTTATGTACATTTACAAATTATATAACAATTTTAAACCGAATATCATCTTGTTCCAAAAGCTCCATGACATATTTTGCATACTTAAAGAGGGTATTTTAAAGAATGTTTCGGTTCCCATTGACATTCATTGTATGGACAAAAAATACAATGGGAATCAAAGTCAGTTAGAACTGAAACTGAACTTTCTTCAAAATAACTTATTTTATCTTCCACAGAAGAAAGAAAGTCATACAGGTTTGAAATGCTATAAGAAGTAAATTATGACAGAATGTTCTTTTTTGGATAAACTATCCCATTAAGATTAAGTAGTAGGTCAGGGGTGGCGAACTCCGGTCCTAGAGAGCCGCAGCCCTGCAGAGTTCAGCTCCAACCCTAATTAAAACTCACCTGCCTGTAGCTTTCTAGTAACCCTTCATACCTTGATTAGCTTGTTCAGGTGTGTTTGATTAGGGTTGAAGCAAAACTCTGCAGGGCTGCGGCTCTCCAGGACCGATGTTCGCCACCTCTTCGTTCGCCACGCCACAGGTTAATTCTGAAATGCATTAGTTTTAGTAGTAGTAGTAGTTACTGTTTGTTTGCAGTGTTTGTGCAAAGTGTTACCCAATGCACTTTTGAATACTGCACAATCAGTTAAATAAATTGTACTCTAAAATTACATGCCACACAGCACCATTTTTACCGTAGCACATCCTAACAGTGATGAGTAAGGTGAGATAATGTAATGTGCTTTATGTGCTTAGTTTACAAAGGGGATGGTGTCTTGTGCTGAATAAAGAGAGGCTTCCCAAGAGGCTGAGAACTGAAAGAGCCATGACTGTAAACCACCTTCCCTCGGACTATAGTGGTCTTCACCTTCCCTCGCAGAGCAAGACCAAGGTACAGTGTTAACTAAAAAGAAAGAAAAAGTGAAAAAGAAACGATTTCTTTTACATGAACAGTTATACGGAGTAAAATTTAACCTACCTTGTTTTTGTGATGTATGTTGTCTTTGTTCACCTAGGAAATGAAATGATATGCATTCACTTGCAAACTCCAAAAAGCTTTCAGTGTATTTATAGAGGAAAATATTAGCAACAAACATGTTCTATTTTTCTGTCAGTCGTTTAGAGCATCTCATCTCAACCCGCTTGAGTGAATCCATGTCTTTCTCACCGTAAACTCTTTTTCTGGATCCCAAATGACTAAGTCTGCATCGTGACCTGGAATGAGACTCCCTTTTTGGTCGTCAAGGCGACATAGTTGAGCAGGCTCTTTACACAAGAGTCTTACTGCATCAAAAAATGAAAACCCTCTTTTAGAAGCTGATGTCCAGAACAAAGATAAACCTGTTGGTAAACAGCGAGATGAATGACAATTTTAGTAACGCCATATGAAACGTGTTTCAGGTCTTTGTTTACTCAAAATGCATGACGGACACTCTTGCATTTGGTTATTTAACTTGCGAGACCATGAATTTCTGTACAAATTAATTCGGCCATAAAATCTGATAATAGCCAACAATTCACAGTTTAAATATACAGTTCAATGTGGAAAAAGTAAGTGAACATTTTCTGGAAGCAATAACCTACACAAGTACTGTAATTACTGAGGAAAACTGCACTATTCCTCACTATTCTTCAGCGTCAATCCAAAGGCCTATTTTCTTCTGCTGAACCCATTTTATTGTTGTTGATTTGCGTCTGATCTTTGGGTCATTGTCCTGTTGCATCACCCAACTTCTGTTGAGCTTCAACTGGAAGACAAATGGCCTTTCATTCCCATGCAAAATGTCCTGATAAACTTGAGCTTCAGCTTTCTATCAATGATAGCTAGCAGTCTAGGCCCTGATTTAGCAAAGTAGCTCCAAATCATGATGGTTAGGTTGAGATGTTTTTGCAAACAGCTTTGGTTTCATTTGTTGAAACAATGTTGCTAATAGTGCTGTGGAACATCCTGGTTTGTATGTTACTTGTTTTCATCATACTGTGTTTGTCTTTTGTTCAGGTCAAATTTCATGACCGGTTGAGGCAGAAATCCATGCTGAATGCAAGTTCATATATTTTATTCGTACAAGTGTAGATATTTTTTTTCAGCTGGGTCCAATCTGGGACTCTGTCTTGATCCCTGAACGTCAGTTTTTTTTGTTTTGTTTTGTTTTTTGTTTTTAGTTCATCATTAGTCTGATTGGTAAATTGTTGGTGGACCACTGTTTGCCTCACAAAGGACTTTGGCCATCATGTGAGTGCATGAGCATATTAGTACATTGACAGCCTACCAAACTGCAGAGAAGAGATCCCTCCCCATGCCTGTGTGAAATCACCACTGTCTAAACACTTTAGGTCAGGTGTGCATGGTGAATGATCTGACACAACCATATCAATATCACCAGCTTTGAGTGCAGACCATAGGAGCTCCTAAAAAGAAACAGATTATAGATTGACTATAATAGATTATGGTTAGAATGCACTGTAATTGAGGTTTGTGGAAGTTCATAGGACAATCAAAAGAGACTTGTTCACGCAAAATGTAAATTTTGTCATTATTATGTTCCAAAGCTGTCTGACTGACTTTCTTCTGTGGAACACAAAAGGAGAAATTTTGAATTTTCTGAACAATTTTTAAAGTAATGGGGAGCCTTCAAGCTTCAAAATGGATCCAAAAGCACCATAATCAATGTATTAAATTAAATAAGTAAGTGAATAAAGTCCACATGTCTTGTGTTCTATATTGCTATTATTCTACAGACATATGATAACCTTGTGGGAATTTAGTAGAGAATAAGTGATGTCTGATTTGTGAATGAATCATTCTTTTTGACTCTTTTCATAGGCCTTGTTCAGACTGACAGCAATAATCTGATTATTTGCATATCCAGATATTATCCAGATGGGTTTTTGAAAGTACAGCAAAAAAAAAAAAATAACATAAATTACTTAATCATATTTCTGTAAAATTTACACTGAAACTTGTTAAAGACCAACTTTTGTTGAT